AGTGTAAACACAAAACAGTTATTTTGCTACTGTTAAAACAAGCAATAAAATAAGACAATAATAAAACAAACTCAAGGGACACTCCAGACACAATCCAAATCCATTAACTGAGTAGAATCTTTGAAACTTCATCAAGTAGAAGATTTATTTCAAGTTAAATTCCAAATTAAACAACGCTACACAGAATTACACCTAGACAAATTAAGAAATTTCAATAAAGGAACAGCTCCACAGAGCTCAGTTTATCTGTAAGTCAATTCCCAGAAACTTTAGACTAACCCATAAAAATAGAATTAGCCAAAACACTCAGATTGGTACTATATTTACAATAAATAATACTAGTACACTTCCCCATCCTAACTAAAGAACCAGGGAACAGCTTGGTGGTGGTCTCGTTTGAACCTCCCAACTGACCTTCCTTCGTTCTCTCCTTCACTGGGTTGCTAGCGCTGGGGGCTATGCCGCTACGCCTGCCTCTCCTGTACCATCCCTGACACCCCCAACCCGATGTCTGGCCCCCTGCCTTATCACGTGAGACTTGGCCAACAATCAGAACCTAGACCCTGCCGGCATTCCGACCTTACCTCCAGTTCCCAAGCCCTTGGCACTCCCAGCATTCAGTCCCTCCAGTCCCTATGCCTGCCTTGTCTCCATCTGGACCTCACCCATTGCTTCCCACTATGTGGTCACAGCCATGCCCTGCTTCCATGCATTCCACACCCTCTGCCCACTTCCATGCCCTCTGCCCATCTCTGCACCCTCTGCCCACTTCTGGTTGCCCTTGACACCTCTGGTCAGGCCAACACTCCCACTCCCCTCTGTACCTCTGTTGGCCTTCATGCTGTCCTTGTGTGACAGATCAACCTCTGTTCGCAGACTTGTGTCGGCACCGCACCGACCCCGCTTATTTGCGGACTTGTATTGGCACTGTGCGCTGACCTCCACTTCCATCCTTTGGCCATTTTTGTCACTCGGCAGCATACCATTCATTCCTTGCTGAGTGCCTATATTGTTCATCCATTCACTTGACTTGCCAATATTGGCTCTTGATCCATGTGCTGATGCACTTCTTATTACCTGTCAATATTGGCACTTGATCCGCTTTTTGCTTTAGTTCATTGCCTCCCATTTTCTGGGCTCTTGTCCTTCATTCAGTTTGACAACCCCGCTTATTTCTGCACCAGACCATGCCGGACTGACTGGCCCTTCTGTGTTTCCCTCCTGCCTATTTATATCCTGTAAATACTTTCAGGGACCTCAGTCTGAAATCAACTAGAGTACCCCCCCTGCCTGGTCTGAGTCCCTCCTTCTGCAAAGGGGGCTTCCCCCCCTCTGAGTTCAAGCTTGCGGAGTCTGCACTCCTCCTACAGGTCTGCTCTGCCCGCAAGTCTTGTTTGAAGTCCGCTGTAAGTGTCAGTCTGTAAATACAGGATCTCCCCCAAACGTCAAGCTCAGGGCACAGCGCTCTACCTGAGTCGCTGAGGCCGCTATCCCACTCTGCTAACCTTGAACAGCGCTTCTGGATGTGCCGCATATTTCTGCCCACAATCTGCATGCGCACTCCAACAGACCTCTGCATCACCTCCAACCTCAACTGAGACAGAAACCATCCATCTTCAGTCCATCTTCTGACAGTCTCTCCAACTCTGACAACATTCCAGTCTCTGACACCTAAGTATGGAGCCCCAAAGGCTTCTGGACAGCTCTGACGTCCGCTAGCGCACTCCTGCCTCCACTGGGCAATTCACTCGCTTGCCCTGCAAGCCCACCTTTGGGCCTATCCCTCCTTTCTGTTTCTGGGCTATCGCCTACCATTCTGCTGAAGGAGCGGAGCTGGATCACCTTATGTAACCAGTTTCCTACATCCAATAACGATATTAGAGTTTGTGCTGATTTGCGTACTGACCGTGTTTTGGTTGCCAAATATATAATTGTTCACTGTCTAAACAACAATAAACACCCCCCAACGATCTCACCTGACGTATAGATCGTCTATGGATAAAATTCTATATTGACTTGACTATGATTTCTACACCTAGATATACCACTTTTCAGTAGGACGTGATTTTCCTGATAATTTACTGAAGGAAAATGTCATATCCATACAATCCTGACCTCCACTCCGGGCTCCCGGAACTCCGAACTCCGACTTCCGGAGCCCTACTTCCCTTCCATCACCTCCTCCTTGCCGACTCCCAAGAGGTTATCCCACCTCCGGCTCCAACACCACCTTCGGTCCGACTCCGGAACATTCCGGGTCCGACCCCAACCTCGACACCTTCCAGACGAGTACGCAAAACCTATGCTCCCGACTCTGGACCTCCGCTCCGGAATCCCGTTCGCGTCTCCATCTCCGGAACCTCCGGTCTTAGCTCCGACCTCGGACTTTGACCCCACCTCCGCTTATACCCATTGTATTGATTAGCTCATTCCATTTAATTACCTTTGCCAATATTCCGGAGTTTAACCTCCGAGTTCGGACTTTCCGGACTTACTCCGGACCTTGCAACTATTGCATTGTCCATTTCAATTCCGCTATTCTCCCTCATTCCTATTTGGGCTGCTGCTTCCTTTCTATTCAGTCAGCTAGCCATTCCCGACTCCCATCCTCCTTCCTTCCTCCTTGGGCCTTGGCCCTTCATTCCTCCTTTGGGAAACACCATTGAGTCAAACACTTGACCCTCGGTGTTGTTCCTCTTTCCATCTCCCTTTGTCTCCTTTCGCCTTACCCTTGTTCCTTTTGATTCCGGACCCCTCCTTATATACAATGTACCTAGTAACTTGTAACCTCAGTCCGAAATCGACATGAATTCCCCCAAGAGACTTTCCCTCTGCTAGATCCGAAATTAGGGACCCCTAGGACAACCAGCAATGGCACAGTGCTCCACCTGAGTTGCTGAGGCCGAGGTCCTTCCATGCTAAGTCTCCAATTCCACTCAGGAGTCGTCCGAATCCCCGCATTCTAACAGAAAACTACTAATAAAATAATTCCGCAATAAATGTTACTCAATACAGGAGTGACCAAACTGCTCTTTCTATCGCTTAGAGTGCATGCTAGTTATCTAGCAGGTTCAGGATCGCTCACTTTTCTCCTGTGGTGTGATAACCAAGTATTGCTGAGAGATTATTCAATTAAGAAGTTCCTCCACCAAATTCTCACTAATTCTCACTATGACACTTTTGTTCAGCTGTGTCTCACTGACCCTAACTCATGCTTAGAGTGACGTGTTAGTTTTATATTAGCTAACAACTAATATTTGCTTTTATCTTTTGGAGCAAACAAACCAACCACTGGTGAGGAGAATTAAACTTTTATTTCTACCTGAGGTTTGAGAGGGGGCAGAAGCGGCGGCCTTTTATGCTTTTCAGAGGCCTCTCTACTCCCACGCCTTGCACTAGTTACATGTGCTACATTTGTATTATAGATAGTTCTAGAATGATATAGGGGCTTGGGCTGTGTAAGCTTAATAATGGACTTAGGACATGACTCAGCAATAAGTAATTCATTTCTTTGTCTTTTGAGCCGATCTTAGCGGGATCTTGTAGCGCTGAAGCTATGCTCTACACCGTCTTAATTACGAACGGTTATATTTAGAAATGACTCGGCTATAAAGGAACTTTCTAGACTGTTCTCTAATTGACCCCTTTTTGTGAAGCCGCATCATTACTAATGTTCTAGAGCCTTCCCAATTAATTAACTGATCCGCGGACTTCTGAATCACTTCATGCTTATGATCCGAGATCCAGATCATCAATCATTCCTTTGTTCTGATTTATTTGAGCTTAAAATCAAAAAGTTTTGATGAATCATGGGAAAATATACAAGATCCGGTTTTTTAGCATTTTCTCCTCTTCTGATGCGATCAAAAACTGTCCGCCCACGCCGGGGAATACTCTATCATATGGTATTCAGTCCGCCAGACTTCCGGGCGCCAATATATTTCCCTTGAGTCACATTACTTTTTGTAAGAATTAGCAAATAAATATATATGAATTATAAGGTGTTTCGCCATTTGAGCAATATCTCCGTCAGTTTTGAAGCTTTTAGAATGAAACAAAACCGTGGATAAAGTTTAGAAACAGTTCTTTCAGATAGCAAAAAGATTATTTACTGGTTCCCAAGATATTCACATTTCTTTCCCAATGTTCCTTCTTATTCTGCTGTCTATGTGCTATTTTCTTGTTGTAGGGATATATTCTTTGAATATTACACCTATGCCAGGTTCTAGGCATGCTTGTAGTAGATTAAATCTCATGCTACATGGGTGTAGATAATTTATAATGATCTTCTAATGTCTGTCCAGTCTCATAAAGATCATGAGATCTGTTAAACATCTGAACTTGTCACCTGTTCATTGACTATTCTGATAGATCATTGTTTTATTCTTTGAATATTATTTCTCCTACACCGCTAACCCTGTAACCCAACTTGTCAGTAATATTCAATCAGCTAATGTTTAACTCTGTTAGCTCCACTCCACTCAGCACTGCCATTTACAGGCCTGCCCTTGCTGTACTTAACTTGTACATAGGTTACACCTTAGTAATAAAATCGACTAGAGTTGATCCCCCTTAGTTCTCGTCGCCAATAAGTAAATTAGGGCATGGATGTGTAACTTGGCACAGCGCTCCTGGCTTGAGTTGCTGAGGCCAAAGCCCTCCACCATGGAGACAATCCTTCGTCTCGATCTGGTCTCTGACATTATGCACCATTGGCATTGGTAGGTGATCATTGTGTATGGGAAATCCTTAAGGAACATAAAACCACGAAAATATGGGTGGTGTGAGGTATAGTAGGTTATCCTGCCTACATACAGGCCTTGCTTTTTAATTGAGGTCCCTCACAATTTTTCTCAGCGTAGCCATTCAAATAAATATTCAGTTGAGCATGTCAAAGGAGTGGGTTTATGAGCGCACTGCACCAAAGGATATATATTTCTCTGTATTTTTACAACCTCTGCGTACTGGCTGACAGGTTGGTGATTGGGCATGGATGGGCATCATTCGTGAGAGGCCCCTTTCTTGAGTACCACTAGGGCATTGGACATCTCGTCCTCACAGGCAACAATTGCCTTGCTCTTAACCCTTTTTCGGCAGCACTGAACCTTCAAGTCTTCACGCTTGGTGTTGCCTGACTTTGTGGAAGGTTCTACCATCTCTATGGACAGTGACCTTGAAGAAGCACTGACGAGTGCCATGGTTTGCCCCTCATCGGGCTCTGAGTTGGTCTGATCAGGGACTTTCTGATGAGCCTCAACGGCTCTCTTCTTTCCCTTACTCTCGGGTATAACCTTCTCTTTGGGTGGTGCAGACACTGTAAGGGTGTCAACTGACTTCTGCAGAGTCTTGACCTTTTCCTCGATGGACATATCCATCTCCATAACTTCTTGGGAGGTGGATGGTTTGGGAGTGTGGATGGTGCTGTGCCAGGCATCCAAGAAAGCTCTCTTCACCAATGTAAAATTCTGGACACTACAGTCCTTGGCAGGAGTCTCCTCAATGAGGGCCTCTTCCATCATGAGAGAGATAGCATTAAACACATGGGCCAGGTCTCTTGGGGTAACGTTCTGGCCATCTTGAGTGAGGATAATTGCTTTGATGTCCTCAATGGTGGTCCGTTGGGCAGAGTCCGTCTCCATGAATTGCTTGTGTGTGCACTTGACTAGGGAAGTAGCATGCAGGGCTGTATTATCTAGCCTGGCAATATGTTGCTTGGCGACCTTAAGATGGCCTTGCAACTCTTCTACGATGCCAAGGATGGTACACGTCCTATCGTCATACATTGAAGGAGAGAACAAAGGAAGCTCAGTTGGGAGGTTCAAACAAGACCACCACCAAGCTGTTCCCTGGCTCTTTAGTTAGGATGGGGAAGTGTACTACTTAAATTCATTGTAATTATAGTACCAATCCGAGTGTTTTGGCTAATTCTATTTTATGGGTTAGTCTAAAATCTCTGAGAATTGACTTACAGATAAACAAAGCCCTGCGGAGCTGTTCCTCTATTGTAATTTCTCAATTTGTCTGGGTGTAATTCTGTGTAGGATCGTTTAATTTGGATTTTAACTTGAATTAAATCTTCTACTTGGTGAATTTTCAAAGATTCTACTCAGTTAATGGGTTTAGATTGTGTCTGAAGTGTCCCTTGACCTTGTCTTATTTTTGTCTTATTTTTATTGCTTGTTTTAACAGTAGCAAAATAACTGTTTTGTGTTTACACTTTGAAATCTGGAGTGTTAACCAGCTTGAGCTGGTTAACACTCCTGTTGAAATATTTACTTAATATTCCGCTCCCTCATTGCTGCCTTTTACTACAGTGGCAATCTTAACTGTATATCACTTTTTCGCACTGGAGTGATAACCAGAAATGCTTGAGAAAAATAATACTCTATTTTCTTACTTCTCTGAGGGGGGCAAAAAGTCGCAGAAAGGGTCTCCCTTTATACTCCTTGGGTTGCCTTCCTTTTTCATGCTCTACCTCATATTTACAGGATTTATTTACAGTGTATTTTCCTCAAACTGAATAAAAATGAATTTTTCATGCTATAGTTCTACTGCACTCAGCTGAGCTGAACTGTGGCTCTACTGCAGTCAGACTGTGCCTAGAATCCTTATTGTCCTTCCTTGCCTAAGCTATTTTAATGGTTTAATTAGAACTTGACTGCACTGCATTTGTCACAGTTTTCTATTTCAAATTCCTCTTATTTACCATTTAGTTTGCTATGACCCGGTCATTCTGAATTCAAACTTCACATTACTGTGCATATGGCTGTGCTGACACCTTCAGCTGATTTATTCTATTTTTATCCGGTGACATTTAGTTAAAATGAGACTTGAATTGATAAATGAGTGAATTATTCAGGTTTAGAACTAAAAGAAAAAGTTGCTAGTAGTCAAGAATTGATCAAACAAATGTGTTATAGCTCTCTGCTTCATTAGTATATTGTTCCCTAAAATTCCCACCATGGTCTGTCGTAGTTTAGTGGATTTCGTGGATTTCGTCCATCTCCCCTGATTCCTGTTTGTATTATTGCATCCTAGTCCTTCGTATGTATTGTTTGTTGTTATAATAGGTCGTCCTCAAGATATCACATTTTTATGTATTTTATTTGGGGCTCGGGACCTCTAGAAGCTGTCTTCCCATGCGTATTCCGGTTACTAGCTTCATGTCCTTGTATCTCATTCATTTCTGAATGGTGTTTCACATTCTCGGCATCATAAATTTTTATTTATTCCCACCTTTCCAATGGTACTAAAGTTGTACTCTATTTCTCGGTATTTGTTGAGTTAGCAAAAGTTCGCACGTACATTTGGTAATCACATGTGTTGTTCCCATACTTGTTTGTATGTGGGCGCCGTTCTGTTTAATTGTTTGGAGTTTATTGTATGCATGGGTGTTTGTATCCTCAATATGTGCTTCCATGATTTATTTCAGATTTTTCCCTTATTGTCATATCCATACCAACTCCACCTCACCTCCACTCCACTCTGCCACTGCTCCAGTCCACCTCCAGTCCATCCTCCCCCACACCTCTGCCATACCCTCTGGCTCACCTCTGCCTCTGATCTCTGGTAGCTTCTCTGGTACCTCTTATCCTCATCTTAAATGTTTATTAATATTTCTATCTACCCAATATTACTACAGACCTCCTAGGACCTCTGCCACATGTCATATCCATCCACAGCCATCGTCTTCCACTACCTCTGATCCTTCTGGATTACCTCCACTCCTCCTTCACTAACCTTGGAGTGTCACAGCCATGCATTCCAGCCCATTCCCCACCCATCCTGATGCCGCCCGAGCCTGTTCCCACTATGCGAGCATGAGCGCGAGCCCCGACCTCAGCCCTATCCTCCATGAGGACTCCCTGCTCACTCCCCTGCTTGCCCCTAGGCTCCCCTGCACCTGGCTGACTCCCCCACAGCCACACCAACCTTCCTGCACTGAGTCCACCTCTGGCACCGTGCCCAGCACGACTCCTCTACCCCACCCACTTGGCCCCTACAGGGCCGCTACCATTCCCATGCCCAACTCTGGCCCAACTCCGAGTCCAGTGCCACTATGATACCATCACCACTATCGCGGCCCTACACTCCATCCTTTATTTATCTGTTATTGTTTGTTTTGACCCTCGGTCATTGCTGGCCACTATGCAGCCAACCCCACTCCTTATTCATGTTTGCTTCCAGACCCTTCGGCCTTCGGCCCGGGTCTGCTTCCATTCATTCTTCCTCCCTATATATATCCTGTATGATACTTTATTGTACCTGTACCTTAGCTCTAATATCGATTTCATGACCCCCAAGTCCTGACCCCAGCAAGGCAACCCCAGTGAGTCTGAAATGAGGGCCAAGAGACAGCTAGGGGGCACAGCGCTCCTTCAGAGTCGCTGAGGCCAAATGCCCTACCCTCAGGCCTTGTTCACAGCATCACAGCCATCATGGCCTATAGTGGCCTGCAAATGGCAACCTTCGGCGCCGACCCCAGACCAGTGTCTAACATGGAGCCCCCGTATTCCGCAATCACCTCCACCTCCCTCGATGGTCACCACCCCCTCTGTTCAATATATTACCTACACCTCCCTAAGTATGGAGCCCCAAAGGCTTCCAGACAGCTCCAACATCTGCTAGTGCACTCCCACCCCCACTGGGCAATTCACTTGCTTGCCTGCAAGTCTACCTTCAGGCCTATCCCTCCTTTCTGTTTCTGGGTTATTGCCTGCCATTCCACTAACCCCATAACCCAACTTGTCGGTAATATTCAGTTGGCTAATGTTTAACTCCGTTAGGTCTGCTCTGCTCAGTCCAACCATTCATGGGCCCACCTTGATGTAACTATATATACTTAACTTGTAGATAGGTTACACTTCGACTAGAGTTGACCCCCCTTTAGTTCTCGTTGCCAGTAAGTAAATTAGGGCACAGACATGTAACTTGGCACAGCGCTCCTGGTCTGAGTCGCTGAGGCCAAAGCCCTCTGCCACAGAGACAACTCCTTCATCTCGCTCCGGTCTCTAACACCACCCCCACAAAGGTTTTCCCACTCTCCAGTAGCTAGCTGTTGCTAATTCCACCCTTCACCTACCCACTCCACAATGCTCAATAAGGCAATTCTCTCATGAGCTCACCGACCTGGCAAGTGGGTAAGTCCCTCTTGGGTTTTCCCCTTTGTTCTCATTTGTCTTCTATAAGTCCTGTACTGTAGTTGATGGCACCTTAGTGCAAAATCGACAAGACTATCCCCCAGAGTTCACACCCCTGTTAAGGACCAAACTCTTAAGCGTTACTGAATGTAGGCACAGCGCTCCTCTCCGAGTCACTGAGGCCACGGTCCTCCCACTTGTTCTCTACCTCTGGCCTCCTTCCAGGGAAAGGTCCAGGGACACTGCCCCTCCTTGCCATGTACTTGACACTCATGATCTAAGGTGGTTTTGTACTTTCCATGCTTTTTTTGCCCAGGGTCTTCCTTATTTGGACAGAAATTGGTCTTTGCAATCTGCTGAAGTGTGGATCTCGGCTCCGATGGCTGGTTCCCTTTGCATTGCCACCCTCACATGTCTTTAAGCATGATGCAGATTTCTATATTCCCATCGTTGGTCTAACTTCAAAATGGCTGGACCGTTAGGGCTGAAACTTTGCATAACGATAGTTTCCAATTTATCATATTTTCCATGTAAATTTCGTTATGTGTTTTAAATATGGATCTTGCATGAACGTCGTCTTTTCCCTGAGCCGTGACTTTGACGTTGCTCATCCCATTAATGAATATCTCATTGATGTGTGAACCTTTTATTATGAAAGTTTGGGTAGATTAAGAATGGATCCCTTCCTTTCTAGTGGGCCATCAAGCTCGTCTTGGTCGTTACTGCTTGTTCTTCACGCTTTCCTTTTGAACGTTGTCCTCGTTTTCCGAGAGTTTTGGTCATATCTCCATCGTCTATGGGTATTTTTCCCTGAAATTACTTTTATTGGGAGACATCTACATTCCCTATTATAAACACGAATTTGAATTTTGCATTGGTTCCTAAGGAATCCTTGTTCCGTGGTACTTCCAGCCTCGGCTACGTGTGCAGGCATGGGAAAGTAGTTTCTGTGGAGGTTCTCTGGTTGGTTTTATAGTCAAACTTGCTCGATTGTCCTAGTTCCTCCAATATTCGCTATAAATTCCCCTGAGCATTCCATCTTGTTGGTGCTAGGCTTGAAGTATTTTTATTAATTTTCTTTCTTCCAATTTATCGTATGCAGTCATAATATGTAATTCGTTAAAATTCGTCAAAATTCAGGTTCTTCTATTTTCTGATATCTACTTGACGTATGGGGTTTTTCGTGGTTTATCTGACATATTTCCATAATGAGTTTTCATAGAGTGACTGTTATTTCTCCTACAACGTGTTCCTGAAGACTCGGCCATTTGCCAAGAGGCTGTCTAACTTTTCAGAAATCCAAGTGAGGTCTTCCATAGGCTCTGGCTCGGGTGAGGGGGATGGGGTATGATGAGGCTGTCTGCGAGTCATGGCAGAGTGGTGCTCCAAAGATCCATCTTCTCTGTTATGGGACTTGGAGGATCTACTCCTGGTCCATGTACAATTCCAGCTTAGGCTGGGAGTAGTGGCTTTCCACATTATTAAAGGTGATAGACCCAGATATATTCCATCCTTGTAGGTCTGGTTAATAACCCACCCAACCCCTACAACTGAGGAATCTACTTGGATGGTTACCAGCCCTAAGTCATTCTCACGCTGGTTCTTTGGCTTCACTTGGGCAGCTAGCATGAAATCAAGCAAAC